GATGATGATGACGATGATGATGATTATGATGATGGTGATTATGATGATGATGATCAGGATGATGATGATTATGATGATGGTGATGATGATGATGCTGATTATGATGATGATGATTATGATGATTATGATGATGATTATGATGATGATTATGATGATGATGAGGAGAAGGAGGACGTAGGATGATGATGATGGTGACGATGATGATGACGATGATGTCGAGTGTCTGGAGCAAGAACAGAGTTCGCCTCTCCCCAACCCACGCCGTCTGATTGTCAAGCCTTTCTCTCTCACACCCACCACCCACCCACGCATACACATACACACACGTGTGCTGTTTTTTTTTGTGTTTTTTTTTTTCCGGCGCTCCTATGAAGACCAACCAAAGTGGCCATGCATCAGGCTCCTCTGTTTTTTTTTTTTTTTTTTTYTTCCGAGCCTTAGCTTCGAAGTGCTTGAGTTCAATGTGGTAGACTTTTCGTTCAAGACCCGACCCCAGTTCCAAGGAACCGGATTCGTGTTTTTTATTTTAATCGGTCTACCCGTGCTTTTCTCCCCGCATCGCTGTTCTGACGAGAAGTGTGTCAGATGTGGCGGCCTATGCAGAAGAAGAGAATGAATTTTTTCATTTGAGGGACATAGCAGCAAGCATCATCCCGAGACTGAGCGGATGATCTACTCCCCCACAATTTTTAGTTTTTTTTTCCCCACAACGAAATCATCGTCTTCATCATCATCATCATCATCCGTCGAATCGAGTCCCACAGTCTGATGAAGAAACAGTCGAGCGATTCGGCGGAGATCACCGCGATGCTGACACTGATGATGACTAAGACAATGATGATGATGATGATGATGAGGATGATGAGGATGATGAGGATGATGATGAGGATGAGGATGAGGATATCATCATCGTCATCCATCGGATAGAGTCCGACAGTTTTCCGAAAAACCAGTCGAACGAAACGACCGAGATAGCCGCGACGCTAACGCTGATGACGACGAAGATGATGATGATGATGGATGATCATCATCATCGTCATCATCATCATCATCGTCTTTGTCGTCATTAGCATTAGTGTCGCGGGGATCTCGACCGTTTCGTTCGACTGGTTTATCAGGAAACTGTCGGGCTCGATCCAACGGATGATGATGATGAAGTTCCTCGGGGCAGCTGTGAACATTAGCAATGGAAGCCGAGGTCGAGGGTGCAAAAGCCTCATTTTTTTTTATATATTTTTTTTAATTGTCGTAGCATAACATGTTTAAACGGAGGGCATATGATGAAAAAAGGAATTCTAAGCTTGAGATTCAAACACTGTGGCGGAATAAACGAAAATGGAGAAAACGGTCGAATGGAACGGCTTTCACACACTGTGGCAGAATAAACAGACCACGCTGAATACACAAAAGTTGAATGTTTTTTTTTTTTCACAATATCGTGGCCATCGCCGTCATCATCGTCACCATCATCATACTCATCAATGCGCCTCCAGTTTGCACCTCCTGCCATACGTAAACCGGTAACCTCTCTCTCTCTCTCTCTCTCTCTCTCTCTCTCTCTCTCTCTCTCTCTCTCTCTCTCTCCCCCCCCCCCCCCCCCGCCTCTCTGTCTATACTAGGAGAAACAAACGAGAACAAACCGAACAAGGAAAGGCACCGTGCACCGTCTATCCTGGCGAAATGAAGTTAAGTAATTTATCGCTCTTGAGCATTGTKTTCGTCGGAGAAGCAAAGACGGCACAATGCACTGGAAMCTAGTGCGTACACCCACTACAAAGCCATCGAAACGATCAACATCTGATGAAGGGTTGATGCCAAGCTCATCCACGYCGTGGWGCTCTGAATGCTCTGAATGCCATGTGGGCGACCACCTCRTCCCTCGCTGCATCTCCACTCTGCTCATTGATGCCGGCGTCACCACCTTCATCATCATGTTGATTGAACAGACCCAGATTGCGATGCCTGGCCATGAAGCGTTCGACGTTAAAATAGACATTGCCATCAATGCAAAAATTGTAAAGAACTCCGATTGCCTGGATCTGGGCGTTTATCCCATTGACATCGCCCTTCTGACGCTTGTACAGGACACGCCACATCCCCTTGAGCCGTCCAAAACAACGCTCGACGCACTTCCTCACCGACTCGTGTGCGTCGTTGAATCTTTTGCGATCGCCTTGTGGTTGGTCAGGAATCGGTCGCAGAAGCCACGGAAGGTTCGGATATCCGGCATCACCGATCAGGTACTGGTTCACCCTTCCCCCATGATCCAACCTTGCTGCTGTGTCAGCGAAGAATCCCTCTTGTGTGGGGCGACTGTAGAGCGAGGATCTACGCAACACCCTGCTGTCGTGCACTGCACCAGGCCACCCAACGGCGAAGTCGAGGATCCGCAGGTCCATGTCGGAGACGCATTGGGCCACGACACTGTAATTATGTGTGCGGTCATGGTAGTCGGTGTCCAGCTGCTTGTCACGCTTCTCCAAGAAGAAATGAGTACAGTCAATGGCGCCGATACAGTTTGCGAAGCCTTGTCTGGCAAATTTTGCAATGTTGCGCGTCATTCCCTCAGTATCAGGGAAAGATATGAGGCCCCACATTGTATCAAGGATTGCCTGTGTCACTCGCCGTGTGCATTCGATGGTTGTCGCATGGCCAAGACCGAACCTGTCTCCGATCCTCTCATAAGTTTCACCGCTCACAAACCGGTTGAGGGCGCATGCCAACACACGGGCTGGTTCAATGGGCAACCGCATTTGGGTGTGCTGCCTCTCCAACCGCGGGCGAAGCCGGTCCAAGAGTGTCTTGAACAATGGAGCAGGCATTCGGAAGTACGACCTGAACCGACGCGCGTCATTGATGAAATCGAGGTTGTGCATGTCCCTCTAGGTTCCGCCCGCTCTCTCCTTCACCCACACCGACCGAGGAACAGACTCTAAGGATAGGTTTATGATGGCGCATGTTGCAGACTTCATGAAATGGTGCATGGGCACTTCCAGCCTGGTGGAAACTGCACGAACTGCACGCAGCAAACACTCCAACTTCCTTGTGTCCCTCGTCTGGCCAGTGGAGCCGGACAAGGAGAATCTTCCCTTCACAAACACTTGCATATACATGCAAAACATGCGGAGCAATGCCCGCTTCCTCTGCACAACGAGCGTAGTCATGGATTCCCTTAATGTTGTAGACGCATGCCCGTGGATGACTGCCTCTCTTGTAGTTCGACGGCCTCTAACCTCCCTGCCACAACGCGTACAATACTCACGGAAGTTCCAAGAGACGTCACTACACTGCGTATGGTAGGCGGATGCCCTTGGACGACTGCCTCGCTKCTTAACACTTGTAGTTCGACGGCCCCCCKCCTCCCTGTCCCAACACCTAGACTAATCACAGATGCCCCAAGAGATGTCACCACACTGCTCTCCTATGCTCAGAAAGATGTCGCCACAATTTCCCTTGCACTCCCACCCTTGTGAAGCTATGGCGTGCACAACAGTAACGGATGTTCCAACACCAGATGCCACACTTTCCCTTGCACCGTACCAAGAGGCCGCCCTATGCAGCTAAAGCGTCAGTCCAGTTTAGCTCGGCACTGATCCGGTCGCTCGCTATACAAGGTCGGTCCCTGATTTTACCCTGGGGCGCTCCAGCGGGTGGCATCGGGCCGCACTCCACACAGCACCAGCAGAGAGGTTCGTATGGCCACCCGTTGGTGCGAATGGCCAGCAGTAACGACCCAAAAAGAAAAAGAAGGGAAAAACGAATAATTGCATTTTTTTTTATTTTTTTTTTCGAGAATAATTGCATTTCCGATTTGAGGTATCCACCGTGTGACTGGCGCCCTCCCCAAGCACCTCGCAGAGTACGATGTTGCGACCTTGTCGTTAGCGTTTTGGGAGCACAGTGTGACCGGCCAGGGCCGCATTTCCTCAAAACGGTCGTTCCCATTTTCCCATTTTTTTGCGAATTTGGTACCTAGTGTGAGCATGCCCTCAATGGAGCAGAAACGGGACACACATCCAGCGGCCTAGCTCAGTTGGTTAGGCATGGAAGTTGCATTCAGGAGGTTGTGGGTTCAAGCCCCATGGCCGCCTGCGGCACACTTAGAGGTGGACCCCACAGGACGGCGGCTGGAAAACCCGCGAGGCCATTAAAAACGGCCCACCATCGTTGGAACGTGTTTGGCAGATTTTATTGGCACCCCACCGCGACCGCAAACTTTGGCATTGGAAACGGCCGCACTTGCCCGAATAGGGAAACTTGAAAGGCCAGGTCCGAAATAGGAAAGTTCGGTAGGGGCACCGGTCCGAGGCCTTTCGTTGTGGCTGTACCAGGACATGTCCGCGTTTGGCCCTCCGATGCCATCGGAGAACATGCCCCCCCCCCTACTCTGCTGGGGGCCATGTTTGGAAAAGGAATGCTGCGATCGCGACCATGTAGAAACGCCCCATCAGCATTTCGCAACCCCTTTCCATCACCAGTCGGGTCTGGAAAACCTTTCCAAAGAGGCTTTCCACACCTCTTTCCATCAGCGGTGGGGTCTCCAAAATGATCGGGCGCTTTTTTTTTTCCAAGCCGCCGTCCGGTGGGGTCCACCTCTTAGTGCCAACGGACTGTGATAGTCCTCTGGATACCCCTGATCGGTATTAGCGGGGTCTATGACCAACACGGGTGTGAGTGTGAGCGTGAGTGGGTTGTGTGTGGTGTGTGGGAGAGTGTTGGCCATAGCCTCTGCTGCTACTCGATGAGGGGTGGGGGACGATGAGAAAGGGAGGCACAACTACTGGCAGGTCTCGGTCTTTGTTTTAGCCAGACCCCCACTGGCGGCCCCAAACCTATACCCTAGTCATTAGGGGCAAGGGGCAACATGAAATCTCCCCTTCACAGAGAGAGGAAACTATGCTTGCAGGGGTCCCCTCTAGATAGTCTTAGGAGTAGGTAGTGGAAGGTAAAAAGAAACAGAAGCTGAGAGAAGAATATAGAAAGGAAAAAAAGAAAAGAAAAAAAGGGGACACACACACACACACACACACACACGCATACAAA